CAGGAATCCTGGACCACCATATCCTCACAGACAGAAAGAGCTGGGGGCCCGAGTATCTCACAGAGTACATGGCCATGCTAGGCTAGGTTCACAAGAGAGAAAGGATGCACACTTCTACTACGTTAAACACATCGTGACTTTGAAGCTACACTTAAACCTTTTTTTTTTTTTTTTGGTGGGGGGAAGATTTATTTATTTTAATTGGAAAGACAGATTACAGAGAGAAGGAGAGGTAGAGAAAGATCTTCCATCTGCTGGTTCACACCCCAAATAGCCACAACAGAGTGTAGCAGAGCCAATCTGCAGTCAGGAGCTTCTTTTGGATCTCCCTTATGGATATGGGAGTCTCAAGACTTGAGCCATCCTCTGTTGCTTCGGCAGGGAGCTGAGTAGACAGTGGAGCAGGCAGGACTTAAACAATATGCGGTGCTGGTGCTGGAAGGTGGAGGATTAGCTTGCGGAGCCATGGCACCAGCCCCTGCACATTTACATCTTTAAAAAAAAAGTATTAAAAAAAATTGGGCCTGATATGGTAGCCTAGTGGCTAAAGTTCTTGCCCTTGTACACCAGGATCCCATATGGGCACTGGCTCATGTCCCAGTGGACCCACTTCCCATCCGGTTCTCTGCTTGTACCCTGGGAAAGCAGTAGAGGATGGCCCAAAGCCTCGGGATCCTGCACCTGTGTGGGAGACCTGGAAGAAGCTCCTGGCTTTGTTCTGGCCATTGAGGCCATTTGGGGAATGAATTAGCGGATGGAAGATCTTCCTCTCTGTATATCTGACTTTCCAATAAAAACACAAATTTTTTTAAATTATTTTTTTAATGTTTTTAAAAATTTATTTAATTTTTAAAGATTTTTTTTAATTAGTTTTTTTATTATTGTTCACATAGCTGACAAGGATGCACACCTATGATTAGAGTGAGGAGGGTCAAGGCATGGAGGAAGGTGGGTGGGACAATTGCTTCCAATTTTCCTTTTTTCCCCTTTTCTCCTGTATCTGGAAGAAGGGAGATGGCCGCTCCTGGCTGCCAATCTACATTAGCATTTGGGATTAGGGGATGTCCACTTGATGTCATGTTAGAAGCCCTGATATGGGGAAGAATGATCCGAGGTTATTGTTTGAGTGGTTTTGATAGTTTAGAGATGCTGTTGGTTTCATTGCTCCAAAGTTGAGAAAATTCTACCAAGGTTCATTGGCTAACCTAGTCTACCCAGTGTATCTACTCATCCAGACACTTGTTGCCAAAGTTTGGCCAAGAAAGTTGTCCAACCTGTTCAACATTCTCTACAGGCCTTAATGAGCTGGCTGTCATGCTCCCCATGTGCACCTGGGTATGCACAGGTATCAGCAATTGAGGAGGCCCAGTCCCAATACATGCACCCCAAGAACAGATCACAAATCCTACAATTTTCGCTGTGGCTAAAGTTTTGAGTCCAGCAGTTCAGTTAGGGTATCCTCCAGGAAAACTCACCTTGAGTGACCCCAGATCTGAAACCTATGTGAGCCAGCCAGTGCAGGGTCCAGTTCAACCTGTCACCCACATTAGCCTAGACACACAATGTGACTGCAGTTGCCTGGTCAGTTTTGTCCCCAGCAAACCAACAGGTAATATGACCCAGCCGACACCAAACCTGGTCCTTATGTACACTAGTGGGAATTGCAGCCTATTGGGACAACCTCCAATAACTACCACTAGGTCCACCCCCAGCCCAGTTCCTCTGTACACTGGTATGTGCAGCACACCAGTCTGGTATGTCCCACCCAGCTCTTGTATATTCTTATGGGTGCCATAGCTTAGCTCATCCCACAACCCAGCCCATACTTAAGCCAATTGGTGCTACTGCCTTGTCCAGCCTGGCCCATTCATTGCCCCGGTGCTGTTGCTAACCAGCAGGAGCTGCAAATCAGCAGAGGAATGCCTACAGTTCCCCTAGTGGGTCCATTCTCAATCCTGGTTCTTGCACTTTTCAAGGGGTACTGCAGTCCAGTCTGACATGACTTGCACCCAGCCCTGGTACTTGCCAGCAGATACTGTAGCTAAGCCCAATCAATCTGTACTTACCTTTGCTCTTGCATGTGCCAGTGGATGAAGTAGCCTGGCCTAGTCTGGTCCTCCCCCAAACCCACTGGCACAACAGGCCAATGGGAACAGTGGCCCAGCAGGGAAGCCGCCATAGTTCCCAAACCAGGCTAGCCCCCAGCTCAGGATCTTCTTTTTTTCTTTTAAGATTTATTTTATTTTTATTGTAAAGTCAGATATACAGAGAGGAGGAGAGACAGAGAGGAAGATCTTTTGTCCAATGGTTCACTCCCCAAGTGAGAGCAATGACCGATTCTGTGCCGATCCAAAGCCAGGATACTGGAGCTCTTCCAGGTCTCCTAAACAGGTGCAGGGTCCCAAGGCTTTGGGCCATCCTCCACTGCTTTCCCAGGCCACAAGCAGGGAGCTGTATGGGAAGCGGAGCTGCAGGGATTAGACCGGCGCCCATATGGGATCCCAGGCATGTTCAAGGTGAGGATTTTTAAAGATTTTTATTATTATTATTATTTTTTCATTGGAAAGGCGGATATACAGAGAGGAGAGACAGAGAGGAAGATCTTCCGTCCAATGATTCACTCCCCAAGTGAGCGCAACGGGCCGATACTATGCCGATCCGAAGCCAGGAACCTCTTCCGGGTCTCCCACGCGGGTGCAGGTTCCCAAAGCTTTGGGCCATCCTCGACTGCTTTCCCAGGCCACAGGCAGGGAGCTGGAAGGGAAGCGGGGCTGCCGGGATTAGAACCGGCGCCCATATGGGATCCCGGGCGTGCAAGGCGAGGACCTTTAACCACTTGCGCCACCGCGCCGGGCCCTCAAGGTGAGGATTTTAGCCACTAGGCCACGCTGCCAGGCCCAGCTCAGGATCTTGCATCTGCCAGTGGTTGCTGCAGCCTAGGTCTGGCATGGCTCATCTCACCTTGGCATTCACTGTAGGATACTGTAGCCTAGCTCTGTCTAGCCCACTCCCAGTTCCAATTCATGCTGGTGGGAGGTACAGCCTACCCCAGCCTGATCAACCCCCAGTCCTGGCCTTAATGTGAACTGGTGGGTGTTGTGGTCCAGTTTGACCTGTGTGCAATAAGTTCTGGCTCTCACATCTGCTAATGGGTGCTATGGATTAGCCCAGCCTGGTTCCACAAGCAAGCCTGACCCACAAATATGCTGACTGGTACTGTAGCCCAGCCTGATCTGGATTGCCCTCAGCCTCAGCTTTTGCATTCACCATGGGGATTATGTCTTAAAAGGGGAGTTCCCTAAGCTCCCCTATCAGCCCATCTCCCAGTTACAGATCTTGTGAGCACCAGTGGGTGCTTGACCCAGCCTGACTTGGCCCATTTCCATTCCTGGCATTCATTGGGTGCTATAGTTTTACCTGAACAGTCCACACCCATTCTGGCTCTCACCAGTGGGTGTTACAGACCAGCCCCACATGGCCCACCCCCAGACCTGGCTCTCACATGGTTCAGCAGGTACAGAGACCTAGCCCAGCATGTCTTATACCAGCTCTGACCCTCATAAGTGCTAGTGGGTGCTGGAGCCTAGCCCAGTCCCAGCCTAGCCACACCCATGCCAAGGGATGCTGTATCCATGTGCCCTTGGTCCTAGCCCTCATACTCACCATTAGGAAGTGCACCAGTGAGAATCATAGCATAGTAGGGGAGTTCTCTTAGCTCCCCTACCAGCCCCAGTTCCAGACACAGTTCTTGCACATGCCTAGTAGTTGCTCTGACCAAGCCTGGCATGGTCTTAGCCCTCGCCCTTAGATGCAGCAACCTGGCCAGGCTTAACCCACGGCCAGTCCCAACTCTTGCTGGTGGGTGCTGTTGCCAAGGCCTGCCCAGTATGCCCCGATCCCCGACTCTCATGGGAACCAGCCATGCAGTAGTCTGGCCTCGCATGGCTTGCACCTCACCCTGGCTATTGTGCATATCAGTGTATGCTATAAATTGGCCTGGCTTTACCCAGTCCATCCCCAAGCCAGCCCACACTCTTGCCAACAGTTGGGGCAGCCTTGCCCAGCCTGGTCCACACCCAGTCCTGACTCTCATGCTACCCCTCAGGAGCTACAGCCAAGTAGAGGGGTTCCCCATGTTTCTCCACCAGGCCCATTCCCAGACCTGGATCATATGTGTGCCAGTCCACCTGCTTAGCATAGTCTGGCCCTCCCACCCCAAGTTTCAGTCTGTGTGAGCTGGTGGATGCTACAGCCTGGCCCACCCAACACCTAATTCTTGGGTACACTTGTGGGTGCTACAGCCTGGGCCAGCCTGACCTGCTCCCAACCCCATGATTGTCAGTGAGTTCTGTGGTAATCATGCCTAGTCCACCTGTTACCACCTCCAGCTCTTGTGCAAACCGGTAGGTATTATAGTCCCATAGGGGAAAGGCCACAAATCCTTCACTGAATCTGCCCCCAGACCCAGTTCTCTCATATGTTGGTTAGTGTCACAGCCTAGCCTAACATGGCCCATTCTCTCCCTGACACTCAGTAGCAGGTACTGTGGCCTAGCCCTGCCAGGCACGCCCATCAGCCCTAGTTCTCATGTGTACCAGTAGGCTGTTGTCAATGCCAACTAGTCCAGACCAGGTCTCCCACAGGGTCAGGTGTCTTGGTCTGACCCAGACATGCCCTCTGCTTTCCCCCTGGGAATGTAGTGGTCTGGTCTGTGGAAGTTCCCCAGAAGTCATTCCTCACCTGTAAAGTACTCCCTCAGCAGTCCCCACTCCCACACAACCCCAAATGCCCTTCCCTGGGTAATCCACAGCCCCCACACCCGTGACCATGTGTAGGTCCCCAGACAGGCCTGGTTTTATGATAGGGCAGTCTGGGGCCCTGCCTGTCTCTCCCAGGACCCATGCTAAACATTTATATCTTAACATACATTTCTTCAACCCTTGACCTACAAGCATGCTGAAGCCTCTCCCACCTTTTAAAAGACCCTGTTTTTCATTTACCTTCAATCTTTCTCTGTATCACAGCAAGCCACAGATACCACCCTTTGGCTGGTTTCTGCAGAGAAAAACAAAAAACAAAAAACAAAAACATAGCATAGATCATAGAATTGTGGAGAAGGGTGGGGCAGGGGGTCTGAGGATCATATGTTTTGGCTCTCAGCTGCCACAACTCTGTACAAACAACCACTGGGACTTCAACAAGACATTCTGAGCACGGCTTTAGCTCATGCTTTGGCGGGCCTCAGTTTATGGTGGGCTGGGCTGGGTTGGGCTGGGCTGATCTCAGCTGGGCTCAATTGAGTGTCTGGGGTCAGTTGTGGGTTTTCCAGGCAACTTTTGGCTGAGCTCATTCATGTGTCTGAAGTTCAACTGGCTGTTGGTTGACCTAGGATGGCCCAGGCTGGGATAATTCAGGCGGGCCTGGCCTGGTGCCACGTGTTTCTCAGCATCCCTCGGGCTAGCCTAGACATGCTCTCATTGCAGCGGCAACAAGGAAAGCAAGCCCAATGACACAAGTGCTTTTCCATCCTCTGCTTGCTCAATGTTTACTAACATGCAAATGACCAAAGTGTGTTACAAGGGTGAGAACAAACGGCCTCTAAGAGCTTGCAGGACATCCGAGAGAGACACTGGGACTTGTTCAAGCAGTTTCTGGACAGAGCTGGTACTCTATCCATTATGACAGTTTTACTTGGGTAATGTGCATAGAGAATCTATTGCTTTTCAGCCATCTTGAGTAACTAAATACAGTAATTTGTTCTTTATCTAGACATTCCCCACCTATTCCCAGAAATGTCCTTAAAATTAAGCAACAGTATTCTCTTCAGTAACCTCTTAAAAAAAAAAGATTTATTTTAATTTGAAAGGTACAGTTACAATGGAGAGAAGACATACACACATATACAGATAATCTTCTACCTGCTGGTTTATTCCCACCCCACCTCCTTCCCCTGCCATCACCACCAATTGGCCACAATGGCCAGACCTGGGCCAGTGTAAAGCCAGGAGCCAGGAGTTTCTTCTAGGTCTCACATATAGGTCCAGGACCCAAGCATTTAGAACATCTGCTGCTGCTATCCTGGGCCATTAGCAGGAAGCCCTAGGGTAACTAGAGCATTTAGGATTTGCACTGGCACCCATATGGGACGCTGGCATAGCACTCTGAGGTTCAACTTGCTATGCCATAGAGTTGGCTCCTGGTGGCCTCTTTTCAAGGATAAAGCCCTCCTTGCATCTTCAGATGTTTATTACTAGGTGGGGGTCCCTGACTGCTAGTTTTGGGTTTGCCCAGCTCTGACCACTGAAGCCATTTAGGGAGTGAACCAGCAGATGGAAGATCTCTTTATTTCTGTTTCTTCTTCCCTCTGTCACCATGCCTTTAAAAGTGAAAAAACAGGGCCGGGTGCTGTGGCCTAGCGGCTGAAGTCCTTGCCTTGAGTGCACAGGGATCCCATATGGGCGCCAGTTCTAATCCCAGCAGCTCCACTTCCCATCCAGCTCCCTGCTTGTGGCCTGGGAAAGCAGTCGAGGACGGCCCAAAGCCTTGGGACCCTGAACCTGCATGGAGATTTGGAAAAGGATCTGGACTCCTGGCTTCCCCATCTGCTGTGGTCACTTGGGGAGTGAATCATCGGATGGAAGATCTTTCTCTCTGTCTCTCTTCCTCTCTGACTTTGCAATAGCAATAAACAAATCTTTAAAAAAAAAAAAGTGGATGGTGATAGATCCTGGTCCCAGTGTTTCCCGTCACTGCACCGCATTCTTAGCATTTAACATCTGGTCAATTTGATTTGTGTCCTCCTGCAAGTTGACCCTGAGAAGAGGGTTTGAGGGCAGGTGGTTTATTTGGAGGTGGCAGAAACACCTTCAGCTAGAAGCGGAGGTGATACAGGCAAGGCAGGCAATCAGCAAAGGGTGAGCTACAAGCCAACTGACTCAATGACCACCACCACCACGATGATCCTGTGGAATTATCGCACCCATCACAATTCCTGAGAGTCCTTAGCTGCCCTGAGTCCTGCGTGTCCTGAGTCCCGCGTGCCCTGAGGGGGGGCGTTTGTGTGTGTGTGTGTATGTGTGTGTGTGTGTGTGTGGTTCTTGGGGATTGGGGCAGAGCCTTTAGGTGAAGAGATGCACTGAATGGACTGGGTAGTCAAGGGAAATGAATGAGGCTCTGATAGGATCTCCTGCATTTTTCTCAAATGGTGGAGACTGCCGTGGTCCCATGTATGTTTCATCCTTCTGCCTAAAATGCTTTCCCTCTCAGAGTGAACTCTTATACATCCTTCAAGATCTTTCCCAGCTTTCCCAGGGCTCCTCTCTGTGCATGTGTGTGTACAACACTGCATTTCTGTAGGATATAGTGTTTGTATTCCTTGTTAACTGCTGTACCTTCTACCCTACTAGATTATATAAGGGGTCCCCAAAAAGTTCATGGAAATTGTGTACAATGGAAAAACTAAGCATGAATTTCAAATTGTTTCAGATCACAATAAGCTTATATTTTCACTCCATTTTTTTTTTGTCCCAAACTGTTCAGAGTACCCTCCACACGTTCGCTGAGGGTGGAAAAGGCACGTTCCCAGCTTTTAGTATAGTTTGGTGCCTGGAAAATACAGTAGATTCTCAGGAAAAGTTGAGTAGAAAGAGTAGTTTCTCTCTACAGAGCCTGGCATGCTGCATGGAGCTGAAGCCAAATTCTGGCAAAATCAGGGTAGTTTTTGTTTCCCCTTTGTCACTGCAAGACATCCCCCTTCCTTCACTTACCAAATAGCCTCTTCCTCTCTCTCCCCATCCTGACATCAAAACCTGCTCACAACCACCTCTCGCAGAGCAAAGGGGAACAAAAAAGAGGGGACCTGGCTCTTTGCCTTTGTCACTGACAACCTTGGACACAGCCCTCCCTTTCCTGAGCCTCTGTCCTCTCATCTGTGAAACAATCTCGAATGTTCCTGCAGTGCTTGAGCGCTTGTAAGAATCATTCTGGAAAAACGACACACAGGAACTGGCATGAGCGGTTGCCTAGTACAAGGGAAAGTGGGTGGCTATTGGCCAAGGGCATGAGAGAGACCTTTTTTTTTTTTTTTCTCTTTCTGTGTGACTCAGCATTGTTCAAAATAAGTGGAAATAGAGTAGAGGGATATTCACCTAATGAAACCATATATCCCAGTTAAGATAGGTAAACAAGAGCTCCATGTGTGAGCAGAACGTTGAATGAAAAAAGCCAGTTGCTCAAGCATATGTACAATGTGATGCTATTGATAAAGTTTCAAAACACAGCAGGCATGTTGTTTACGGATACGCACATATGTAGCAACAGGCTGCACCATGCATGGCAAAGCAGCACACCAAACCCAGGATTGCAGTTGCTACTGCAGACAGGGAGGGGAATGAGATCAGAGCGAAACAAAACCCAGACTCTAACTGTATCGAAATGATCTTTTGTTTCTTAATATTTTTCTTATAAATTATTACCTGTGGGCCAAAGCTGGTGCATGACTTTTGTGAACTAAAAATGGTTTGTACATTTTTAAAGTGTTGAAGAAAAAAATAGAAGGATGAGGTGAGTATTGTAGTACTTGCAATGTCCAGGCCTCCTAAATGAATACCAGTTTCAGTCCCAGATGCTCCACTTCCAACCCAACTCCTTGATAACGGTCAGGAAAATAAGGGACTTGGGCCCCTGCCTCCCACATGGAAGAGCTGGATGAAGCCCCTGGCTCCTGACTTTGACCTGACTCAGCCCTCGTTGTTGCTGCCTTTTAGGGAGTCAATCAGCAGATACAAGATCTCTTTCTCTCCCTCACTTTCTCTCTCTGTAACTCTGCATGATGTAAAAATATGGAAAGACTATTTTGTAAACATGTATAAACTACATAAAGTTCAGATTTCAATGTTGATAAATAAAGCTTTATTGGAATGTCACCATTATTGGAATGTCACCAGGCTAGTTTATCTGCACATTACCTACAGTGCTTTCACATTTCAATAGCAGAATTGAGCAGTTACAACAGAGATTAAGGGCCATAAAGCCCAAGATATTTAAAATCCAGACTTCGATAGAAAAATGTGTACTAATCCCTGAAAAACTGTATGACGTATTTTTTATGAATTTCTGTGTATTTTTTCTAAAAAAAGATTTATTTCTTTATTTGAAAGAGTTACAGAAGGAGAGAGCTCTCCCATCCACCAGTTTATTCCCCAAATGGCTACAATGGCCAGGACTGGTCCAGGCCCAAGCTAGGAGACAAGAACTTCTTCCGGGTCTCCCATGAAGATAGCAAGAACCTAAGCACTTGGGCTACCTTTTGCTGCTTTCCTGGGCATATATTCAGAAAGCTGCATTAGAAGTAAAGCAGCTAAGACTCAAATCAGCACCTGTATTAGACACCAGCATTGCAAGTGGCAATTTAAGGTACTGTGACACAACACCAGCCCAAACATACATCTTACATTTAAAAAGTAAGGAAATTTTCCAAAAGAAAAAAGATGTGTAATTCTACCATCTATCAAAATCTGCATAATTTTTCCATATCTTCTTCAAGTCTTTGACAAAGTAGACATTTATTTATTTGAAAGACAAAGAGTTGCAATCCATTGATTCATTTCCCAAATGCCCACAACAGCTGGGTCTGGAAGCTGTCCACGTGGGTGGCAGGATCCCAGCTACCTGTGCTATCACTGTTGCCTTCCCAGGTCTGCACTTAGAGGCTGGAATCAGGAACCAGAGCTGGGATTCAAATCAAATCGGATACACTGGTATCTTAACTGGCACTGTTTTTGTTTAAATCAAGCAAAGAATTTTTACATTTTTTTTCCTTTTATATGCCCTTTTATCTACCATTTTATTCTGTCATTCAAGATTGAAATTTGCGGGACCTGGCTTGGTAGGCTGGTGGCTAAAGTCCTCACTTTTCATGCACCAGGATCCTATATGAGCGCCAGTTTGTGTCCCGGTTGCCCCACTTCCCATCCACCTCCATGCTTGTGGTCTGGGAAAGCAGTCAAGGATGGCCCAAAGCTTTGGGATCCTGTACCCATGTGGGAAACCTGGAGGAAGTTCCTGGCTTCAGATCGACTCAGATCTGGCCATTGCGGCCAATTGGGGAGTGAACCAGCAGATGGAAGATCTTTCTCTCTGTCTCTCCTTCTCTCTGTAAATCTGACTCCCAACAAGTAAATAAACAAATATTTTTTTAAAAAATTGAAATTTGCACTGTTCAGTGGTATACTATGGTTATTTACACACCACACAGAGTATAGTTGGTGTAACTCCATGTCTAAGCTTTTATGTTCTTTTCATATTCTCTTACTTAATACTGGATATTAAGCAAATAATATCTTTGTGCACACAGCTTTTGCAGTCTTCCTTTAGAGTTCTTTTCTGAGTAAATTCCTAGGACTAAAATCCCTTGTCTTCCTTCCATTCCCCAAATGCTAACCATTCCCTTGCTCTGTACTCCAATGGCCTCTTGCTCCTTCAGTCTGGGCTTATTCATTTGTCTTCTCTAAGGGATCTCTCTCACTTGGCCCCTCCTTGGTGGCTGTTGAAGTCCTGAAAAAGCTCTTCTGCTCTTGAACCCCAGCTTGATTTCATCAAGTCTCAGGGGTCTTATCCTCTGCAATGCACAGAGGGCCACCTGCTGCTCTATCTCTTAAGCCCTTCCTTTCCCCACTAGGTCCACTGTCTGCCACTCCACTTCTCTGCTGTGGCTAATATCCCTGGTGACCTCCGTGTAAGTCCAGACTTTTCCATTCTGAGTCAAAACTAAACTGAAAAGAAAGTCAAGGGTGAAAGATTTATAAGGGAAATTGGGCTATGTATGTCTGTTGGGGGTTCAACTTACTCTTTGCGATTCACACCATGGGGCCATGTTACAACCTCTACAGAAACAGACCTGGAACAAGCTCCTGGCTCCTGTCTTTGGATCAGCTCAGCTCAGCCCCCAACTGTTGTGGCTACTTGGGGAGTGAACCAGCAAATTGAAGATCTTTCTATCTCTCCTTCTCTCTGTAAACCTGCCTTTCCAATAAAAATAAATCTTAAAAAAAAATGGGGTCCTTGGGCAGGTGGGTTGGATGGATACAACCACATTTCCCAAACAGTCAGTGTGGTGGCACTCACTGTCAGAAAGCAAAAGTTAGGGACTGAAATGGTATTCGATCAATTGAATCACTCACAACATCAAATTTTTAAAATATTCAACCAACAGAGTGGGCACACCAATGGACCAACTGCCACCTGTTAAACAGCAAGCCTGGGTGAATTGAACCATATCAGTCTTCCTTCACGAGGAGAAAAATAAAATCCGGATCTAAACGGAACCGGAACGAGGAAGGGGAAAGTTACAGACAAAGTGGCACTGAGTTGGGAGACATTACAAATGGGTCACAACCAATAAGGGGGACCTTACTCTCAGTTCAAAGATTTATGTTTAGAAATACATGACGTTCTTTCCTTAAAAAAAATTAGGCTCAGGAATCTCATTTCTCCGAAGTAAACAGTTCCCCTTTCTCCTTCCCAAAGGTCTCCTTCTTTACCTGTTTCTTCCCTCAGGAGGGTAGGAACTTTCTGCCCGGCCTCCCTGCTCGCTCAAACTCCGCCTTCTAGATTCACCTGGGTGCCCAGCCCCTGACGTTGCCGTTCGGCTTCAGCATCCTACAGGATTCAGGCTCCCGATTGGTCCGTCTGTCCACAGCTTGCGCAGCCCACCAATGGCAGCGGCGCTGGGTGGGCGGGTGCCCACATCCAAGATGGCGCCTCTAGGTTCTGGTAGCGGGTGACCGGCGGGGAGGAAGCGGCCTGGGTTGGCCCCTCAGATTGCCGGGCCTCAGGGGCGTCCGGTCCGGCACCCCGTGGCCCACCTACACGAGGCCCTCCCCGGGCCAGAGCAATGGCCGCCGAGAACAGCAAGCAGTTTTGGAAGAGGAACGCCAAGCTGCCGGGGAGGTGAGCCCAGGACGCTGAGGGGAAGACGGGATTGGACCAAACCCTTCCAGATCTTAATCCCTAAATCTTGAGGGCCTGAGGAACCCTCGAACATAGAAGACTGATTTGGGGGCACCCAGGTTGGGGGAAGCCTGGGTTGCCTAGGGGCGGCGGGGCGGCTGTCAGGCGGCGGAACGGGGACGGCTGAGTGTGAGTTCCTGCCTGGGGTCTGGGGGCGGAGGGCTTGGGAAGGGTGACCTCCGCCAGGAGGCGGCCGACCCCGGGGCGTCTAGGGGCGGAGAAGTTGAGAGAGTAGCCAGTGTCGCCTCCCCGCCACCCCCAGCCGGGGCTTGGAGGGCCCTTGCCAGAGCTGCTTCCCACTTCGGATAGAACTCCATCTCGGGGGTCTCCACCGTGCTCGAGTGCTTGCTTCTACAAGGATGGCCCCCTCCCTCTACTCCCTCAGCTTCGCACCAGAGGGTGCTAATGGGAGTTTGGGGCCGCCTGGGGTAAAGAAAGAAGGGGTCGGGGTAGGGGTTGGGGCGGACCCTACTATATTAGGTTGACCCTTTCCCATAGAGGCAAGGTGACCACGGAGTCGGGGTTATTCCCCTGGAGTTTTTTTAAGGATTTGTCCAACTGCAAGTGACCTCTCACACCCATCCCTTGCGTTGTAATGCTCTTGTGCAAACACTGAATTCTTCTATTCTTCACTGGGTTCGTGGAGAGAAAATCTTCTAAGTGATTTTTTTTCTTCTGTTTTGGCGTGTTTTGACTCTTAGAGGTTGTCCATCCGTCAGTCTGCAGTTTACAACCTTTTTTTTTTTTTTTTTTAATTCAGTTTCAGTTGTTTGGGGCAGAGTCCTGAGAAATGTAAGGAGGCCTGTGTGTTTCAGTTGTGAATTTAAAGACTTCTGTTGGTGATGAAATTCCTGTTTGGCTGTACCTCCTATGCTCCGTTTCCTAACTGGTTCAGTTCTTTCCTTTCTAGGACAACCCTTTTAAGAGAGAAATTAGATTCTATATTGGCCATCAGTCTTACTTTATTCAGGACCCTATTAAACATATGGAAAATAATAGGCATCTGCCTTTTTAAAAAAAGATTTATTAATTTTTAAACAGATTTGTTTATTTTTATTGGAAAGTCAGATATACAGAGAGGAGGAGAGACAGAGAGGAAGATCTTCCATCCGATGATTCACTCCCCAAGTGACCGCAGCAGATGGTGTTGCACCGATCCAAAGCCAGGAGCCAGGAATCTCCTCCAGGTCTCCCAAACAGGTACGGGGTCCCAAGGATTTGGGCCATCCTCGACTGCTTTCCCAGGCTGCATGCAGGGAGCTGGATGGGAAGTAGGGCTACCGGGATTAGAACTGGCGCCCCTATGGGATCCCGGCACATTCAAGACGAGGACTTTAGCCACTAGGCTACGGCGCCAGGCCCAATTAATTTTTAATTGAAAAGACAGATTTACAGAGAGACAAAGAAAATGATCTCCCATCTGCTGGTTCACTCCCCACATGGTCGCAGTGGCTGGAGCTGAGCTGATCCGAAGCCAGGAGCCAGGAACTTCTTCCAGGTCTCCCATGCAGGTGCAAGGACCCAAAGCTTTGAGCCACCTTCTACAGCTTTCCCAAGCCACAAGCATGGAGCTAGATGGGAAGTGGAGCAGCTGGAACACAAACTAGCGCCCTTATGGGATGCTGGTACTTGGAGAAATCAAATTTCAATAGCAGTACATATCAATACATGGCAATACAAAGAAGGCCACAGATTACTGTGGAAATTGCACTGTGGAATCATAGCACTAATATCAGTGTTAAAGATGTTGTGTGTTTTCAGATAAGCATCGCTTCCTGCCAACTGATCTCCTTTCCTTCCTGATCTTGTGAGCTCTCCAGTTATGCTAACTGCTGCTCTCTGGGGTTTTCCATTGTGACATCATTAAATTTTGATATCCCAAGGTTATTATGGGAATCAGTGGGAAAAGTGTTCTGTCAGGAAGCAGTGCAGGAGATATGGATTGTGGCCTGGATGTCTCTGCCTTCTGACACTGCTTACTGTTAACTGTCTTCTAGTTTAATTCTACTGGAACAGAAAGCTTTTCTAAAGCACTGCATCTGTGAGGAAGCCAGAGGAGTCTTTTTCGTTTCTTCAAGTGTCTGGTTCCCTTTTTCATTTTGAAGAATGTAGAAGAGTGAATTTTAGGGTTCTGAAGGGCTCCGAGTTACTGTTTGGACTCTCTTATCTGTGTGCAAAGACAAACAATTGACATTTTAGTCCTTTGTTCTGTTATCTAAGAAATGAGTGAAAAACAGAATGTTACTAATGAAATAGCCTATTGGTAAAGAACTCAGGACTGTTTATTTAACATGTGTTCTGTTGCTCAGGACACAGTGTAAAGCAAGTAATCTTTGTAAAGAATGTTATTCCGATTCTTTTTCCCAGTCCTAGTTAATGTCTTCGTTCTATATTCTGATCATAAACTGCCATCACAAGTCATGCTAGCTTGTAGTACTTTGCTGATTGAAGAAAAATGTTGCTCAATTGTGTGCTGGGAATTCCCAAAAACCCAGATGATGGGAGAAAATTGCCTGAGGTGCTTGTAGATAGAAAGGTTCCTTGAGGAAAGGAAACTGTTGGGGCATTTTGTCAAGGTAACCTTTGTATCTTTTGGTCTGTAAGAGAAGAGAAACTTTTTCTTGGGTGGGGAAAGGACATGCATGGCTGTGTTCTAGGTCCATGTTATATGTGAAAGCAGTTTCTTTCTTTTTTGCTAATTTAAAGGTAAAGAAAAAAATGAAAGTGATGGCAGGTGACTTTCAGTTTCTTTGATCATGATCCAGCCACAGCAAATGGGAATTTTATTAAATAAAACAGCCTAAGAGTTGAAAACAAAGAAACTTTTTGTTTGTTTCTTTCTTTCTTTTAAATAATAGCTTTGGGGCAGGCTTTTGGTTTAGCAGTGAAAATTTGGCTTAAGACTTGTGTGTGCTGTGTGTGTGGGAGTGCCTGGGTTCGGCACCCGCCTCCAGTGCGTCCCTTTAGCCTTCTGCTTAGGTACACCCTGGGAGGCCAGAGTGATGTGACGGGTAACTGAGGCCCTGCCAGCCGTGAAGGAGACCTGTGTTGGCGTCCTGTCACTTGGCTTTGGCTTCAGCTACTGTGGATATTTGGGTAATGAGTTAGCAAATGGGAGCTCTTTTCTTTCTCTTCTCTCAAATAAATAAAAATCTAAAGATAAAGAAATAATAGCTTTATTGAGATACAAGTCACACATCATAAACTTAAGTATTTTGAAGTACAAATCTTACCTGTAGTATAGATGGTTTTATGCAGCTATCACTACTAATGTCAGAACATTTTTATTCCACCCCTCCCCCCAAAAAACCTGTATGCCCAAGGACTGACATTGTGGCACAACAGGTTAAGCCACTGTTTACAATGCCCACATTCCATATCACAGTTCCAGCTTGAGCCCCAGCTGCTCTGCCTCCCCTCCCGCTCCCCACAATTGCACCCGGGAAGGCAGCAGATGATGTTTCAAGTACTTGGGCTCCTGTCACGCTTGTGGAAGATCAGGGTGGAATTCCTGGCTCCTGGTTTCAGTATGTCTTAAACCTGGCTGTTGGGACCATGTAGTTCCTGAGAACCAGAAGCCAGAAGACCTTTCTGTCTTACTCTCTCACTCTGCCTTTTTGAATTGTTAGTTAATTTTTCTTTAAAGAAAAGGAGTCCTATGTCTGTTAGCAGTCACTCCTTATGTGTTCCCCTCTTTAAACTCTGGCAACTGTTACTTACTAATCTACTTTCTATTTCTATGGACTTAACTATTCGAACATTTCATATAAACAGACTAGTATGATATGAAACCTTTTGTGACTGGTTTTCACGAAGTGTCATGTTTTCAGACTCATCTGTTATCAGTCAGCATTTGATTGTTTTTGTGGCCAAATAATGTTCCTTGGTGTGATGACTGCATTTTGTGTATCCATTCATTGATCGGTATATGGGCTGTTTACGCTTTAGACTATCGTGAGTAATGCTTTTATGAACAGTCATGTCCAGGTCTCTATGTGGACGGACAGATGTTTTCCATCCTTTTGTGTGTGGGCATGTGTTACCTGATGGTGGACTAAGTTCTGAGTGTGTGTTATTAGGTGATTTTATCATTGAGCCCACCTGGGAGTGTACTTGCACACACTAAGCTGTGACAGGTCACACTAGTTGATACAATCTTATGACTTGTTAAAGTTTATCCTAAATCCTAGCTCTGCTTGCCCTTTCTACCCATGTGCCCCAGAGCAGACTGAGTCCTCTCTTGCCTAGACTACTGCTCTGGACTTCTGATTGGCCTTTTGGTTTCTCTTGTTACCTCTTGACAGGCTCTTGTTTATAGTTAGAATAAATTCAAAATTTTCCAAGTCTTCCAGGCCCTCCCTAGTTAGAAAAATGGGTCAAGTTAAGAACTGTGGTCTTTCTTAAAGGCAGTGGGTGCTTTTATAAGACTGATGTAGCATGATCAGATTTGTATTTATAAGAATTCCATGTGTTTGGAGCAGTCCTTAAGATCCCAGAGGGGAATGTCTGAGTTTGAGTCTTAGATCTGCTGCAGCCCTGGGAGATTACAGGTGATGGCTCAGATAGTCAGGTTTTTACCGGTCACTGTAAGTGACCCGGGTGATGGTCAGGCCCCATCCCGGCTCTTGTGGACATTTGGAGAGTGAACCAGGCAATGAGAGATATAGCATACTTGTCCCCTCGCAACCTCAGCTCTTCAAAGAAATTAAAACAAAACAAACAGAAAAACATTCATCTGGCTGCACTGAGGTGCATGGTTTGGGCCAATGATTTTCCATGGCTTTTAGAGGGAAGGTCACACAGTTGTTATTTAGTTAATTTTATTATTTGGTTAATTTGGGTTGTATTGGACTCTAGGACATTGAGTATCTCTGGCTGGTTTCAGCCCCTAAGGATCTGGAAAGATGCCACTTAGTGGAACACACGTTTTACTTTTGCTG